TAGTTTAGAGTTCATTGTTTCTTTTAAATATTTTATTTCAGTGGAGCCTCCCTGGAGAAATCGAAGCCAAGAAAACTGTGACTTACTCGAGATTAGGTAGTAAGCAGAGAGACAAGACAGAATTCATTTCTTCTCACTCTTGGACTGATGTCATCTTGTGAACGTCACCAACAGCTAACCTCAGGTAATGAAGCCAAGAAAACTGTGACTTACTCGAGATTAGGTAGTAAGCAGAGAGACAAGACAGAATTCTTTTCTTCTCACTCTTGGACTGATGTCATCTTGTGAACGTCACCAACAGCTAACCTCAGGTAAATATTTATTGGAGAATTATAGACTAAAAACACTTTAAAAATATTATTTTAGAATAACAATATATACAAATCAAAGGATGTAAAAATAGAGTATAATATATATATTTTAAGAGGCATTTGAAAATAATATAGAAAAAATCAAACACTGTGTTTCTTGAACTCAGTTCTGGAGATATAGTCAGAGGCCACATATGCAATATACAAAAAATCAAACACTGTGTTTCTTGAACTCAGTTCTGGAGATATAGTCAGAGGCCACATATGTCTTGGAAGTCAGGAGTCCTTCATTTCTTCAGTAACACTGAGTAGTAAAAAGCAATCAGTACTAGCCATGATTAACTAAAGATGCCTTCTTGCATATGCGAAATTAAATAATCAAAACTTAGTAAGACAAGGTATCCAAAAAGCACAGGGAAAGTCAAGTTTGCATCCAGATATAGCCCATTAGTTGACCCTTTTTACAGACCAAAAGCACTTGGAAATTGAGGTTGTTGGCCACAGATTAATGAGATGTAGGCGGGCCTGTGGGCTTCAGATAATGCTCAGAGAATTTATCCAATTCATACAGCAGTGAAGAGGTTAACTTCAGTCATCTCCTAGGAAACCAGCAGTGACAGTCCACATTGAATACTGGGGACATTCCAAATCTGCTGTTTAATAAAGTAAATTTTGATTGCCAATGATAGTGGGGTTTTTTGTTTGTTTTAAGTCCATTTTTTTGTTACTGTGTTCAGACTTAATGCTAATTAGTATGTTACACATGTAGGACTATTCTACATTCTAGAGAGAATTAAAGATTTTAAAAAGTATTTGCAAAAATGCTTTAACAGTGTGTATATTTACAATGGGTTAGATTTAAATATTTTTGATGTAAAAATAACTACAAGGAAAATAACCTAAGGTGTGTCTCCCCTTTCAAAACGATTTTTAAAGCTGTGTCCACTGTCATCTTCGCTAACGAGAAAAGGTTAATTTCTGCAAATTATGAATAACTTGATTTTAAGGTATCAATATTTTGTAATTTTTTTCTTAAACTGGAATCTTGATTATTAAAATAAACCAAAGAAGAACTGTAAATGCATCCCATTCACAGACATACAGACAAAAAGATTCATTCAATGTTGCTCAAGCTTTCCCCTTCTCTTTCACAGAAAAATTTTACAGAAAATGCTTTTCTGTGTGTTGTGGTGTTGACAAGTAGTAATACGAAAACAAGTGCATCTAAGCTTAATGAGCAATTCATCTGCATGCTGAGATTTAGGGGAGCTGCAAATAAATCCCCTGCAAAGCTGTTCAGGTTGGAGGGAAAAATCTTATTTATCATGCTGCATGATAAAGAACCAGTCTCCTCATCCATAAACTCACAGCAACCATCATGACAGCTATTTTGCATTCTTGTGCTTCTAAGACTTTCTCCAGAATGCAAGTCTGTTCTCTCACCCAAGACATATCAGCTAACAAGCCTGATGTAGAATTTGTTTGTTTCTTGACTATCTAATTACGGTTCGGCATATACCTGATAATGACTTAAATACAAAAACAAACAGAAAAGATTATTACCTCACTGATAAAGTACAGGACATATGTACACGTGGGTATAAAATTCAGTACATATGTCATTATAGAGTATACCACATTTTCACAACAGCGGAAGCAATGCTGATCAGTGAAAGTGATGAGGTTGAGTCCTTCAAGGAGCTTTCTGGAAAAATGGCCAGTGCTCAGGGTTTGCACTGGTAGGCACAGGAGGCTGTAATCCTACAAAAGAGCTTTGTTAAGCCAAATTTTTAATTCTAAGAGCGGTGCCTAATTTACACCCCACATCAGGCTGGGTATTTTGCATCTGCTATTTTACAACATT